TCAGGCAGCGCCTCCAGGCCCAGACTCGGCAGAACCGTGAGGTCAGGAGACCTCGCTTCCAAGGTCAGAGTTTCTCTAGCTGCCAGCCCCTCACCCCAGCACACACATGCACACACCACCCCGACCTGCCCAATCCCTGCCCCTGCACACATGCACGCATGCACACGCACACGAACACACGCACGCCCATGAACACACAGACGTGTGCACACATACACGCATGCACATGAGCACACACAGACACGTGTGCACACACGTACGCACGCACGCACACGCACCCCTCCCTCCCTGTACCTGGAGCTGGGTTCTGGGCTTCCCTCTGCTCTGCAAGGTCAGGAATGCCCAGGCTCGGAGATTTCTGTGGTGCAGGCCCTGCCCCTCACATCGCCATAGATGGCAGGATGGGATTCGCTGGTGTACAGACGACCCGGGCCGTCCATCTGGGCGTTTCCTGGATGTCCAGGAACAAATGCACCCCGATGGCCGGCTGTTCTCCCTTCATCCACGTGTCGGCAAGGTGTGGACACAGCTGGGCCTGCGATGGCCAAGGCCGACCCAGAGAAGAGAGACTGCGGATCAGGGGTGGGTTATGGGGCGTGTGCTGCCCTCCCCCCTCACGCTGTGAGCTCCCGAGGTCAGGCCTGTGGCCCCGCAACCTCCCACAGAGGGAAGGAAAGGGGGCCTAACCTGGACACCAGTTCCCACCAGGGGGAGGGGTTGCTCCATGGACTCCTCCCTGCAGGCGGGTTGGGCCAGCCTTGCAAGTGGGCGGAGCAGGCAGCCGCCTTCCAGGTGCAAGTTCAGGGGCCTGGGAAGATCCTCCCAACTTCTTCTGTGCACCGAGATGGGGACTGGCGTGGGCGTCCCGATGGCGATGGCGTTGGCGGGGCCCTGCGCCTCCAGCCCCCGTGTAGCAGGAGGGGGTGGGGCTCAGGGTCCCCGGTCCCTCTGCGACACATCCTGCCCCTCTTCCCGTCCGGCTTTTCTGCCTCTAACTCAAAAGAGATGAATGACTTCAAAAGAGCAAATGAATCAGAAATAGGGAAAGCAAAAAAGAGTAATTTTGCCAAGTTATTATTCAAAGGCGCTGTCCGGGACTGGGCGCAAAAGCAGGCCCATCCGTCACCCGGCAGAGCCCTGGGGGCCACGTGGGCAGCCGTGCTGCCTGTGCTCTGGGCGTGCTGGGTGCTGGGGCCCTCTGCCAGCTGCCACGGATGGAGGGAGGGCGGGCGGCCAGAGGGACATTGAAGTGCCCAAGACAAGGCGGCTTACTGACCTGCTTTTCTTGACGGGCCGGGGCCCGGAGGCTGCGCTCTGGGCTGGGCCAGCTCTAGGGGGGTGCCCCTGGAGCCGCGTGGAGCCTGGGGCTGGAGCCTGCTCTGCCCTGCTGCCCACCGCCCCCCGGCCCTTTGCTGCCCTGAGGGAGGCAGCCACCACCTCATCCTGCCGCAGGGGCCCACCACACCTGTCCCTGCGTGCCAGCGCCCAGCCCACCTCACACCCTTGGGGAGGGGATGAACGGCTGGATGGTAACAAAATCATTGTGGCACATGTTCGCTTCTCCTTGTATTTTTAAATTACTTTATCATAATTTTTATGCATAGGTTATCCCTGCTTATTACATTATAATTATATTCCACTTGGGGGCGGCGAGGAAATCGGATTCCTTTCTGTGCGCAAGTTCCACATAGAGGAAGCCCTTGGAAAGCAAGTGCGCAAGGAAAGGGAGCAGGAGGGAGGGGCTGAGCCTCCCGACGGCGGCAGAGCCTCAGTGCGTCTCCGAGGTCCCACCAGCCCTCGTCTGGGAGCTGTGGCCCCAGGCTCCACATCAGAGCACGTTTTGGTGCCTTAAGTAGATGAGTTTGTTGGATTCCTGCCACCGGGGTGCTGGAGTTGACCAGTGGGAGGAAGAGTCCAGGGCCCTGCTCTGGGTTTCCTCATCTGTAAAGGGGTCAGTGATAACGGTACCCATTAGGGGCAGTGATGACAACATGGTTAAATGAACCGGTGTGCGCGAGGCGCTCGAAACACTGCTTGGCAGGAAGTACGTTTTAGTGACGCCGGTTATTCACTGCTGTAGCACAGCACCACAGACGGGGGCTTATAAACTGCGGAACTTACACCCTAACCCCGGGGAGGCGCTGGCCTGCTGTGTGGGCGGCGGTGCGGCAGACAGCAGCCCTCCTTGCTCCTCTCCCAGAGCGCTGGGCCCAGGCTGCGGGAGGCGGAGAGGATCCAGTCAGGCCGCCGGCTCATTAGCGCTGCATTGTGAATTCGGGGATAATGTAGGCTCTCCTCTCCCCTGATTGCTTCCGAAATCTCCTGCCTGTTTATCACATCTGAGTGCTTCTCCACCCTCTGCTCTTGGCTCTGTCTGCTCCTCTTCTCCAGGAGAGCAGAGCAGAAATGCTCCTGAGGGTTTCCGAGCAGCCTTGCAGACAAGAAGGCGGTGAGGCTGTCTGCACGTCGCAGGGGAGCAGGCGATGGGGTGGGCTTTGGGGGCAGGAGAGCCCCAGAAAGCACCGATCCCCCAGGAAGGAAAGCCCCCTCCTCTCCCAGCAAACCCTGTCAAGTCAGCTGAGGCTGCTTATCAGACAGTCACTCACTCACTCACGTCACAAGCGCAGCGGCAGGTGACAAGGACACAAGTGTGGCGCCCATGCAATGAAGCAGATGCCAGCGCAGGGCCTCATGAGCTGCTGCGGAGGCCAGAGAGGGCAGCCACAGTCAGGGTGGGGAGAGAGTCCCTGACTTTGATCCCGCAGGAGGCGTGAGACGTGTATTTGTGCGCACAAGCCCTGGCATGTGCAGAGGCACAGAGGAGTGACTGGAGGGCAGGTCGGGAGACTCGTGGGGGAGAGAGTGCAGCCGTGGAGGTGGTCGGGTGGAACGGGCAACCCCAGCCCCAAGTCAGGGGTGAGGCTGCGCTTCCTGAGGGCCTCTGGGCCCTGCCCCGCAGCTGGCAGTCCCTCTCCCCGGGCAGCCGTCTCAGCGTCTCCCACTGCAGAGTCTGAGTGCTCAGCTCACCTCCTTGCTGCTCCGGTGGGTTGGCTGCCTCTGGCCCAGGGTCTGCGTCCAGTCTCATCAGCCATGGGGAGGGGCGGTCTGGACGTCACAGGACTGCACGGCCAGGAGCTGTGACCTGTTTCCCAGAGGGGCTGTGGGCGGGGCCGGCAGTGAGCGTGCCTCCCACTGGGACCCTGTGCTTCTGTTCACACCGTGCACCGGTTCCCACGGTCACTCCCTCGTGGCCGCAGGTGGTTTCGTGTGTGTGTGTGTGTGTGTCCCCGTGTCCTCTCCACCCACAGCTGGGTCCTCTCTCCCCTCACAGCTCCTCCAGTGCTTAGTGAACAGCAGCAGAGACTTTATCTCTGGTCAGGTTGTATCCAACGTCATTTGAATTGTTTTACTGTTTAGTTCTGATTTGCAGTAGAATGTTTGTCCCCTTGTCAGGGCCTCACCCTGTGAGCAGCGAGGGGCAAGACAACCCGACCCCAACATCCTTTCCCCTTTCTTCTTTGCAAACTGACCCCCGACCTTGTTCTGGGCATAAAGAATGACCAGATTAATTAGTCCTGAAACGCTGATGTGGCCATGTGCCTGTTCTCAGCAACGGCGAGACTCTGGGAAAGTTTCGTTCTCTTAATAAAAGGAACAGGAGAGGCTGCTGCCACCCCCGCCCCCTGCTTCCTGTCTTGGCCAAGATGCCAGGACGTCTGGAGGGACCCTGCGACCAGGGGGCAGAAGCCAAAGCACAGGCCGAATGGGGGTCGGAGGCAGAGAGCCGGGCCCTCGCCGGCGGCCCCCGCTCTGGGACAGGAAGTGCGCCTTCCTCCCGGGGCGACGCTGGGACTGAGGGCGCGTTGCGACCATTGTCAGGAGGTGTGCTCCCTGCACTGAACAGACTCCTCACCGATTCACTCGGTGTCTGTGCGATCTGTGTACGCTAAGATCACACGTGGGGCAGGCTGGGAGGACCCACAAACTCGGGGACCACCCTGAAGTTTGGAAAGAGGAGCTGTGATGATCCCGCCGGCCCCCGGCCCTCAGCTTTCCTCTGCCTGGAGCAAGAGCCACCGCCCCCCGCGCCCCCTCCAACTTGCCCTTGCTCCCTCCGTGTCCCCCAGGGAACGGGCAGAGTCGCTCATTTTCCCTTGAGTCAAGAAGAGTGACTCAGCGCCAGCCATCACCTTCTGGCCTGGCCCCGACCCCCAGAGCCAAGGAGGCAAGCAGGACCCAGACCTCCCCAGGCAGGGGACGCTGGGGCCCCACCAAACACCCGAGGGGAGGGAAGCCAAGGGGGGCGGCTCTGGAGTCATTGTCTGTCCCGTGGCACCAGCCTTGCGTTGTGCCTGACGTGAGCCACAAGCCTGCTAACCACCCACCAGGCAGCCTCGGTGCGGCCGCTGCTCCGACAGTCTTAGCCTTGCTCCCGCTGTGCACCCGGGGCCTGACAACCCCACCCCGCCCCGCCCCGCCCCGCAAGCTGTCCCGGGGGGGCCCTAAAAGGGCTCCCAGCAAACAGGTTCTGCACAGCCCCGCGCCCCCTCCCGTGGGTGCTGAAGAGAGACTCTCCCCTGAGACGCCACAACCACCAGCGTCTGCCGCCCAGCAGTGAAGGGCGCATGGCCATTCCACACCTGGGAGGGGAGAGAGAAGACCATGAAACGACCCGCTTTCCTGAGCCCCGCTGCGGACTACAGCCTGACCTCTGCAGGCCTCCGCTCAGCCCCGCTGTTTTCATATCCAGCTAAACTCAGGCCCATGCGTTCCTCGGCTCCTCTTGCCGCTGCGCCTTGTTCTCCGGCTCTGCTGCTAGCGATGCCCCTGTTCCTCATTCTCTGCCACACAGCTGATGCCATCTGCCCTTTCCTTCAAAATGCAGCTCAAAACCTTTCTCTGGGAAGCGTTCCCTGCCTCACACCCCCCCGTCACTAAGGAGTCTTCTAAGCGCACCCCTCAGTGTGGCTTCGCACATGCTTGGGGCCTTTCCACCTGCCCACATGGAGCCTCCCGCCCACACGATGTTCCGGGGGCGGTGTCCCTGCGTCCCTCCTGGTGGGGGGCCACGGTCTGATACTCAGGAAGGCTCCACAGCGTTGCTGGCCGCTTCAGTCTCGGCTGCTGTGTAAGTCAGGCTGCAAAGCTAATGGCTTGAGACGAGTGTTTTACTGCCCCCCCTGAGTCTGCGGGTGGATTGGGCCCAGCGGGGCAGTCCTTCTGGGGCCTGTGACACCAGCTGGGCTGCAGCCATCTGGGGGCTGGACTGGGCTGGGATATCCACGCTGGGTCACTCACGTGGCTGCCGCTCTGCCGGGGTGTCTGGGACCAGCTGGGGCAGCTGGGTCTCCCCACCCCCATGTAATCTCACGAGCTCTCCAGACGGTCCCTGCTGCGCGGAGACCTCGTTTCTCACGTGTTGGCTCAATGCTTCCCAAGGGCCAAAGGCGTGTGCTTCCAGCCTCTCAAGGCCCGGGCCCGGTGTTGCTTCTGCCATATTCTGCTGCTCTGAGCGAGTCGCAGAGCAGCCCAGCGCCCACGTGGAGGATGCCCGCCAGGCAGGCGTGACCGTGGGCCCAGCTGGCCGCAGGCGCCCCCGCAGGCGCCCCCACAGAGCGCTTCGTCCAGGCAAGGCTCTGGTTTTCTAAATTTCTACAAAATTTTTCAATATTCCTACAGCAGACTCAGATCTCTCCCCCTCAGACCGATTTTGCCAAAAATGAGAAACACAAGCACACACGCAGCTCCTGGAACACGGCCGCCCTAACCTGTGCAGGTCACGGACGTCTCTCGGAGGGTGAGCGTGTGTGCGTGCTGTGGGGAGAGGCTGAGCGCCGTCTGGTTTTAGTCGCCTCTTCAGGCGCTCTGAGGTGCCTTCTTTTGTTGTGAATTTGCAGGTGAGGAGTATGACTTCTCGGTGGGACGTTGCACCGGGAAGAACAGCGACAGGATCGTGAGTGCGCGCACCCCAGGGCGGGACGTTGGAATCACCATCAACAAGGCCCCTGCCTGGTTTTGTTGACTTTTCTCTCGATCTAGCTTTATGGTTTTTATCGAAGCATCGTCGATTTTCGACGCTGTGTTAGTTTCTGGTGCACAGCGTGGAGGCTGAGCTCCTTTTCGTTGTAGGTTATTCGAGATACTGAATAGAGTTCCTGCGCTCTACGGCAGGAGGGACCTTTGTATCTGTTTTACACGTAGCGCTCAGTACCTGCCAATCCCAGACTCCCCGTGCGCCCCTCCCCACCGCCTCGTCCCCCTGGTAACCGCAAGTTTGTTTTGAGACTTGAAAGAGTTTGCGCGTCATCTTTGCGCGAGGCCGTGCTAATTGCCGTGTCGTCCCAGTTCTAGTGTATGTGCTGCCGAAGCGAGCACGGAATTTGTTGTCTTGATATTGCCTACATTTCTTTAAACTTTGACTTCTTTATGCCAGTTTAAAGACTGCTCTCCGTTTACAGTAACTACGCGATACTGTGCAGTCCGTCCTTGTGCCCGTCTGACTCCCGGCGCTTTACCATTTGTCTTAAATATGTTACCTTATTCCTCCCTGACCCCCATCCTCGTTGTGGAGACCAAGACAGAGGCTCGGAGATGTTAGGACCCCTGCCCACAGGGGTGGGGCTGGGTCTGTCTGACCCCAGGACTCTGGGGAGTTACTAGAGAATGATGTGAGGTTTCCAGTCTGAAGAAACGAGACCCTGGAAGCGAAACTGGCCAGGATCCTGATCCCCTTCGGGAGACACCAGGTGCAAAAGCCCGCACCGGGCCCGGCGCAGAGCCGCCGTCCTCCCCACACCTCGTTCCTCCCGCAGCTGGAGGCCCGCGAGGCTGAGGTATTGGTGAGCTGCCGGCGTGACCGATTCCACCTCTGACGGGACGGAAGTCGGAGGCCAGCTGGGAAGGCGCTGTCCGCTCCCCCTCCCTCCTTGCCCGCTTGCACTTCTGTGTTTTTGAACCGTCTGTTCCTGGAAAGCGGAGGAAAGTAGCAGATTGATGTACTGTCTGTGTGGCCAAGTGATTTATTTTTAATGTGACTAAACAGGACGCACACCTGCCTGTGGAAATGCACCCACCCGGAATCGTCAGGGACTCAGGTGGCCGTGGGCAAGGGGAGGACAGGCTGCCCGGGAGGGAAGTGGGGGAGCAGAGGAGAGGAGGTGGGCCGCTCCCTCGAGTCACGGTGGCAGCAGCACCGGGAAGCACCAGCCGGGCCAGGTGCCCCCCCCCCGGCTTGGCTGATGCCTGAAACGTCGTCATCAGACTTCCATCCCTCTGCTTCAGGCAAACACAGCATGTCCCCCGCTGAAGTGCACACGTGACAGGTCAGCGCATAAAGCCACATCCGCCTTTTCTCGGCGAGAAGGGTCTTCTATGAAAGCAGGGCTGCTGCGGTTTTTCTGGGCTGGGCGTTAACACGAAGTGTGCGGGAATCACCAGGGAGGGAACAAGATGGCACAGGGAGGAAACCAGGGTCCTGGAGACTCTCTCCCCTCGTGACTCTCCTCAGTCGCAGCAGCCCCGAGTCTTCGCGGCGTCCAGGCGCCTGCGTGGTACTTCCCACCGTGGTGGCAGCAGCCGCCGCGCTCCCCGCCCCGCTGTCTGGGGCAAGTCCCCGGGTCCCCGCGCCGCCCGCGGGCTGCTCGGGGCTCGCACGCGTCTGCGTGTCAGCAGAGCGACGTGGCAGGACAGGCCGTGGCAGCCGGCGGACTGGCCCCAGAGCCCACACGCTTCTCCGTTTGCCGCCGCCTTCTCCCGGGTCATCGCGCTCCCCTCCCTGCTCGTGCCCAGAGCAGCTTAGAAATGCGTGAGCCGCAGCCTTCCAGTGCTGACGCTCGCTCTCCATCCTGGCCCAGCCCCGAGGGCACCTGCGCCACCCACGGTCTCCTTCCGGGAGCCTCCTCTCCCCTCCCCCGTTCGTCGGTAATGCCTTTAGGACGGGCAGGGCGTGTCCACAGGAGCCTTTCTGGTGATGGACACGTCCTTTCGGGGTGGTGGGAGGATCTCAGGGGCAGCGTCTCATCTCTGTGTGTTCTGTTCACCCAGACTGCGCTGGGCTCCTGGTCAGTCCCCCTCACCCCGCTCCCGGCGTCTGGCCCAGCAGCTCACTCTGTGCTAATGGACGGAATGAGGCAGAGGTGACGACCTGTGACTTCTGCGGCCAGGTCATAAAGGGCATTGGTGCCTCTGTTTGCCCTGGGGAACCAGTCACGCCGGGGGAAGCCTGCCGCCGTGTCGTGAGGACACTCCGTCAGCCTTGCGGAGAGAGCCACGCGGGGGCGGCTGAAGCTCCCACCAGCAGCCCGCACCCGCCTGCCAGCCCTGGAGTGAGTGGACCCTCCAGCCACGTCAAACTGCAGTGACTGTAACCCCAGCCAACATCCTGACCGCAGCCTAATGCACCCCCTGAGCCGGGAGCCCTCCAGCCAGGCACCCCCCAGTTCCTGACGGCAGAAACTGAGCCACGGTAAATACTCATCACAGCTGTAGGACACAAGGTTTTGGGAGAACGTGTTAGGAGCAAGAAATAACTGACGCAAGAGCCACTGCTTCCTTGCTTTCGATAGCAAAAAAGTTAGACATGCCAGAAACGTCAGCGATGAAGGTTAAACAAACCATGAGGAACCTGCAGTCTGGAGCCGTTAGACGGAGGCTGCGTGTGAGAGCCCTGCCGGCTCCCTCGCTGCCGGTCCTCAGACGCACGGCGGGGGGAGCATCGCGATCGGCAGGGCCCCGACCACGTGAAAACACGGGAGTCGTGTGCACGTCCGTCGTGCCTCACGTACAACCATGTCTGTGCGCGCGCACGCAGACCCAAGGGGGCGCAGGCGGACGGTGCGGGTCCGTCTGCCGGTGGGGATCTGTCTGCGACGAGGGTGGAGGAGCTGGGTGTGGGGGCGCCGTGCGGTCTTGACCTTTCGCTGTGAAGTCTCCTGCGTGTGTTGTTTCAGGCTCTTATAACAGAAGCGCGTGTACTCCTGTGCGAAAAGCCAAGGAAAATCACGGAAAGCGAAAGACAGGCAGATAAGAGAGACAGCAGGGGGGGAAGAGGGGAAGGGGCGTTTTGCAGCCCACAGGGTCAGGACTGCAGGCACCTGATTTAAAAGCCATGTCAAAGGACCCCCCCTCGGTGGCCCCTTCGCCGCGCGGCATCCAGGCTGGGTTGGGTGCCTCAGGGCCCTCCGGCGCAGGGCTGTCACGCTGCACGGTAACGCTGTGGACTGAATGTCGCCCCCACAAAGTCGTACGCTGCAGCACCAGTGTGGTCATGGTTGGCACAAGGAAGTAATGAAGGTTAAGCGAGGCTGCGGGGCGAGGCCCTGGTCCGATAGGGTCAGCCTACTTTTGAGAAGAGGCTTCGGTGAGCTCTCTCTTGCAGGCGCCGAGGAAGCTTGCGTCAAGGCCGCCATCTGCAAGCCGGGGAGAGAGCGCTCAACTCAGCAGACCCTGCGCTGGCTGGACCTTGATCTCGGACTTCCAGCTCCTACAGCCGTGGGAGAATAAGGGCCTGCGGTTTAAGCCACCCGGTCTGTGGTGTTTGGTTCCCGCGGCCCCGGCGGACAGTGCAGGTGGTAGTCCCCTCGCCCCGCCTCCCTCTCTGCACAGAGAGCTCTCGGAAGGCAAGACTTTGTTGCCTGTACTTGTGTCCCCAGGACCTAGCACAGGGCCTCACACACCTCTGTGTGTGCTTATCTAACACATCAGCACTGGCAGTTAGCCATTCATACACAGCGAAACAGACAGCACAGAGTCAGACAATGCAGAGTTCACTCTGGCCTGCGCAGTTAATTCGTTTACTCCTTGGCATTGCTCAGCTCGCTGGTGTTTACTGAACACCTCCCACGTGCCAGACAGACAGCGCAGTGCATGTGAGCTTCCTCGTGCTGAAGTGGACGTGGTGGCCACCTGACTTTGCTGGAACCTGAAGGAAACCAAGTACTCTGCCTCTCCCCGGGCATCTGACTGGACTCCGCGGGCCTGCCAGAGCCACAGAGGTGCCACCAGCAGGCTCAGGTCTGCAAGGTGTTTCAGGCTTGGCAAGAAAGCTTTCTGCAGGCGTCAACGCGACCACTCGGTTCCCTGCAAACCAGCATCCTGAGCGGCGGGGCTGCCCTTTCTAGCTCACGAGCAGTGCCACTGGGAAGGCCCAGCACAGTCACATCCCCTAGAGGACAGACTCCAGAGGCAGGAGGGGGTGATCACTGCCCAGCGGCCTGCCGCGCGCAGCGTGCAGGACTCAGGGTTCCCACGGTGTCGCCCCTGGTCCTCACAAGAGCACTGATGGATGGAGAGATGGAGGCTCGCAGGAGTGACAGCTGCAGCTGAGGCCAGTTGGGGGTCTTCCGTTCAACTTCTTAGGGAGGGAGGGAGGGGCTTCAGAGAGCAGTCACAGGGAGAGAGGAGCCCGGCGAACCCCATGCCACGTGTCCCGGGACCCAGTCCTCTCTTCTTCCTCGTCAGTTCTGCTCCGAGGCCAGGAGTAGGGACAAAATGAGTTTGGAAGTTTTGAACCGAAGGAAGAAAACTTTTCCTTCTTTTAAAGGGGGCAGCTGTTAGGGTGTTTGCATGTTGGGTTCTTGGGCAGCACCCGGTAGACTTGACGGGCTTTCAAAATGAAGTTACTAATGGAAATCACGCATTGGAGATTATGCAGTTTCCAGAGAAATTGCTGAGAGAGAGTGGCTGGTGCTGGGAGATTGGAAGTGTGGCTCCGGGTCGTCACAGCTGTGCACGGAAGGCACGGAGGCCGGGCCTGGCTGGGGTGGCACGGCAGAGGTCACCTCTCAGACCCGGCTCTGCACAGAAGGCGGAGCCAGGGAGGAGCCAGGGCAAAATTCTAAAGACGCAGCACCTGCGTCGGCCCGCCTCCTGCCCCCAGCTGTGGACGTGAGGGCTTCGAGTCTTGGACACAGGCGGGCAGCGCTATGCTGGACCTGATTCCTGATTCCTGGGCGCGTGGCTAGCCTGGGGGCGCACGTTGCTAATTTTGATCGCTGACCATCCCCGAGACAGTGGGGGTGATTGGAGGAGACCGAGAGGCCTGGGGCTCGGCTCGGGGGAGAGCCACGGGCTGGAATGGGGGAGAGAGGGCAGCAAGGGCCGCGTCATGACCGGCCTCTGCGTAGGCGGCCTTGGTCTTGGGTTGTACCTGTCGCACCTCCTTCCAACCCCCTGTTGGGCAGTAAATTCTAGGGTTGCCTTGCTAATGACCGCAGGGTTTGGAGCATAATGAGGTTTTTGAATGTGTGTGTGTTGGGGGGCTGCAGGGATTGCTTAATTAGCTTCTTTTCTGAAGAGCTAATATGTTCATAGAAGTCAAAATTCTCAAAAGACTGAGAATCTTCCGTTCCCCCGGCCCCAACGACCTAATTTCCCTTCCTAGAAGCAAACTGCGGTGTCAGCCTCCTGCGTCCTCTCGGTCTTTCATATCTGTTGTCTTCTCTCATGCTTTACTTCCATTTAATTTTCTGTTCCCTCATTTCTCTTGCTTCCTCTTAATTGGTTTTTAACAGTATTTATTCTCCCTCTGACTCCTTCCGATTTTAGACTTCATTTGAAGCATGCGGGTTAAATGGCTGTCTCTTCCCTCCGCTCCCTCCCTCAGCTCCGCCAGCTCCGGCTCGTGTCCTCCTGCGGTTTCACGCCGTCCCGGGTCTCCATGTGCTCTTTCTTCACAGACGCCGTCGCCTCACTGTCTCCTTAACTCTCTGGCTGGAGTCTCCACCTCTCCGTGGAAACGCTCTTTGATGCACCTTCGCCTGCTGTTTGTTTAATCTTTTTTCCCTTTTTTCTTGTCAAATCTTTGTATTGATTAACCGTCACTGAAGCAGCTGATTCTTTGCCTTCCTCACAGACCTCCTGTATGCGGGCGGTC